TTCGATTGCTGATCTTGTGGTGGAAAATAACGGTTATTCGATTGAAGCACGGGTAAATGCCGAGCGCATCGTGCTGCAAAGCAGCGGTGAAATAGGCTTCCGTCCACATCCAGGGCAGATAGACGAGTGTGTCTTCCCCGAGGAAGAAAACGTCGAAATTATTGCGACCGCGGGGCCGGGTAAATTTGTATCGCCCTATTATGATTCCATGGTGGCGCAGATCATTGTGCATGCCGAGGATCGAGACGCGGCCATTGATAAGCTCGGTGCTTATCTTTCCCGGGTGAAAATCACCGGTATTTCTACCAATATCCCGCTATTGATTCGTGTACTGAACGACGATGTTTTTCGCAAAGGCGTCTATGACACAAATTATCTGCCGGAATTCCTGACCCGAACAAACATTCAAAGCCTGATTGCTGAGATTGAAGCCAGTGGTGGCGACAGTGGTGATGGCATTGACCGCGATTCAATAAAAATTGAAGAGAGCGAAGAGCTCAAGGTGCTGGCGCCGGCAACAGCCATTTTCTACAGCACGCCTTCACCATCAGAGCCCGAGTACGTCAATGTGGGTGATCGTATCGACCTGCAGCGAACCATCTGCCAGCTTGAAGCCATGAAGATTTTCACGCCGCTGACCCTGGGTGATTTCAATGCAGAAATTGAGTTGTATCCGAGTACACATGAATTTGAGGTCACGCGGGTAAATATGAGCAGCGGTCAGCAGGTTAATGTTGGCGACCTGCTGTTTGTGGTTAAGCCGATAGCGAAGCCCACATAATCCAGGCGCCGCGTAGCATACAAATGCTTGCGATAGTCAGGATAACAAGACTGCTCACACGTCCGAAAGCTGCATCGTCCCATCGATGCAGCAGGGCGGTGCCGAACCGGGTACCTGAAACCGCAGCGGTCATGGCGCAGAAGAAAAGCCACCAGGGCAGGGTGGTCGCGACAGACACGATGAATGCGTAATACAAAATTTTGAGCAGATGCCCAATGGTCTGGGTCAGAGCTTTGTTTGCGACAATTTCATGCCGGCTTAATGGTGAATTCAGATAGAACACATCCAATAAAGGCCCCGATGCACCGGCCAGCAGCTGCGCCGCAGTGACGACAAAGCCGCAGACGATGGTTGTTAGAGGGCGGGTCACATCCAAACCTTTTAGTGATCGGCTGTAGCGTGCAAGCCAGGGGAAAACCCCCACCAGAAAAAGAACCAGGCCTGGATCAGGCACCAGGGCAATCAAGCTGAAGACACCCACAGCAGCAATCGCGCCCAGCATATAGTTAGGCAGCAACCTCCATTTGATATGCCGGCGCAGAAACCAGGCTCTTGAACCATTGGCGGTTGCCTGAACCGCACCATGCAGAATCATGGCATTGGCAACGCTGAGTATCGACACCAGGATGGCCATCAGGATCATGCCGCCTGCCATGCCCAGCACGCCAGACAACACACTGGTAAAAAAGACGGCAATAGTGAGAAATAGCCACAGCATGACGCGCATCCTGCGCCCAACCATTTGATGAATAAAGCGAATCGATGGAATATGATTCAGTCAAATTTGGAATTGATTAAGTAAATGGTTGAAAATTTAGAGACGTTGGTTGCCTTGTCAAAAGCGGGCACGATGATGGAAGCCAGTACTGCATTGAAAATATCCCAGTCGGCGGTAAGCAAGCGTATAGCCAACCTGGAACGTTATTACGACAGGCGTCTGATTGAACGACATGGCCGTCGGGTGGTATTGACCCACCATGGGACGCGTCTGGTCGAACGCGTCACGCCTCTGCTTTCGGAGTTGCGCAGCGTGTTTCTGGAAGACAATGCGCTGCGTAAAGGTAAAATTATTCTGGGTGTGTCTGAGGCGATTCTCGCCAGTTGGGGGCCGCGCCTGTTTGCCCAGGTGCGTACACGTTTACCGGGTGTGGAGTTTGAGTTTCATGCGCAAAGATCGCCGGTTGTGCTGGATCGTCTGCGCTCTGGTGAATACATGGTAGGTCTGTGTACGGGCACGCCGGATGCGGATACCGACCTGGTCAGTGAGGTCATCCGGCAGGAGCCTATGGTGATCATTCCTTCCGGCCTGCAACCCCTGAACTATCAGATTGGCGAACCCCTCAGCGTCATTACCATCGAATCCCGTTCCGGCGCTTGGGCGTCTATTGAGGAAGACATGCTGCGACTATCGCTGACCCGGGCGGTGTCACTGGAATCATTTTTTGCCGTAGCGCAGATGGCGCTTGCAGGCTTTGGTCATGGCCTGGTGCCCGCGGGTGTTGCACGCACCCTGGGTGTTGATGATCGGGCGGTCATCGGTCTGGCACAACAGGGTCTGACGCGCCCGGTGCGATTTGTCGCACGCAAATCGATGTTTGCTCAGGAACTGATCCGCTCGTTCTATGCTGAAGTCTCAGTAGCGGCCGAGGACATCTGAACCGGCTCTGGCGGTGTCATCAGGATCTGGGCAAGGGCGTCAACCCAGGCAGGGTCTTCGTTCAGGCAAGGCACCAGATCGAAACTTTTGCCGCCTGCCTCAAGAAAAGTCTGGCGTCCCTGCAAGCCCATTTCTTCCAACGTTTCCAGGTTGTCCGCAACGAAGGCGGGGCAGGCGACAACAAGTCGCTCAACGCCTTTGGCGGGCAGTTCTTCGAGGACTTTATCGGTATAGGGTTGTAGCCAGCCGCCACCAAGCCGGGACTGGAAACTAACGCTGTATTTTTCAGATGATATCCCCAGCGCGGCAGCCAGGGCGTTGGAGGTACCAAATACCTGGTGTCGATAGCAGGTAGCATGAGCCTCTGAAGTGACGTTACAACAATCTGCATGTTTCATGCAGTGGTTGCCGGTAGGGTCCGCCTTCTTCATGTGTCGTTCGGGTAAGCCGTGATAACTCAGCAGCAGGTGGTCCCATTGCTCCGGTAATGCTGCGGAAACGTTTTTTGCCAGCGCCTGGATATAGGCTGGATGTTCAAAAAAGGCTGTTACTGCGCTGGTTGATATGTTTTGCGGCACAAACTGCGCAGTGGCTTCGAGCGACGTCGTCACGGTTGAATCAGCGTATTGTGGGTACAGGGGGGCCACAACGATGTGTGTGACACTTTGTTGCACAAGGCTTTTCACAGCACTTTCAATGTCAGGTTTGCCGTAGCGCATGCCCAGCGCTACGGGTCCATCCAGTTTGGTTGCCAGCTCTGCCAACAGCGCCTCGCTGTGTAACAACAACGGTGAACCGGCCGGATCCCAGATGGATGCATAGGCGTGTGCACTCTTTTTTGGACGGAACGGCAGAATGAAGCCATTCACAATCAGGCTGCGGATTGGCCCAGGCACATCCAGGACGTAGGGGTCCATGAGAAATTCTTTTAAATAAGCGCGTACATCGGCAACGCTGGGAGATGCAGGGGTGCCTAGGTTGATGATGAGATAGCCGGTCTTTTCCAAGGTGGTCCTAGTGATCAAATTATCAATGCGCTAGTATCCGCGCTCTGCCAGCAAAGGGCAAAATTTACCGCTACGTTTACCGATGAAAAGGTACGTGCAACAGGGCTTTTGCGTATGACAATTATCATAGACTACGACGCCGGTAACCTGCGCAGCGTGCAGCGGGCCTGTGCTGAGGTGGGACTACCCGCCGATATTTGTGCGGATCCGGATCAGCTGCGCCATGCTCAACGGGTCATTTTTCCGGGTGTCGGCGCGGCAGGCAGTGCCATGCGCAGTATTGTCGCTCGAGGCCTCGACGAAGCCCTGGCGGAGGTCATTGACGCCGGCATACCTGTCCTTGGTATCTGTCTTGGTCTGCAGATCTCGCTGGACTATTCAGAGGAAAACGATACCAAAACGCTGGGTCTGATCGCTGGCAGAGTGCAGCGCTTTGAGTTCGACCACGCGGAGTTGAAAATTCCGCATATGGGTTGGAATGAAGTTCGGCCGGTGCAGGCGCATCCGCTGCTTGATGGCATTGAACCCGGCGACGAATTTTATTTTGTGCACAGCTACTTCCCGGTCCCGGATGCACAGGAATCCGTTTATGCAGTCGCCGATTACGAGCACGAATTTGCCTGTGCCGTGGGCCGCGGAAACTATTTTGCGACGCAGTTTCATCCGGAAAAAAGTGGCCGTGTAGGGCTGCGTTTGCTGCGTAACTTTGCGCAATGGAATGGTCGATGTTAAGTAAAAGATTAATCGCCTGCCTGGATGTTCGCGACGGTAAGCTTGCTAAAAGCGTGAAGTTTGTGGACACAAAAGATATCGGTGACCCGGTTGAAAAAGCCCGGGAATATTATCTTGATGGCCTTGATGAGCTGGTGTTTTACGACATCACCGCGTCCAGCGATAAACGCAACATCATGTTAGACGTGGTGGAAGCGGTGGCCAGTGAGGTGTTCATACCCTTGTCTGTGGGTGGCGGCATACGCAGTGTGCAGGACGCAACCAACCTGCGCCTGGCTGGCGCTGAGAAAATCAATCTGAACTCTGCGGCAGTGCAGCGACCGGAATTGATCAGCGAGTGCGCGGATGCCATTGGCAATCAGAATATTGTTCTGTCCATGGATATCCTGCGTGTACCTGTGTCGGTCAACATTCCTTCGGGTTACGAAATTGTCATTAACGGCGGCCGTACACCTATGGGGATTGATGCGCTGCAATGGGCAATTGACGGTGAGCGCCTGGGTGCCGGCGAACTGGTGGTGAATTCTATTGATGCTGATGGCACCAAAGCCGGTTACGAACTCAAGCTTACCGCCATGATATCCACTGCAGTAAGAATTCCGGTGATTGCCTCGGGTGGTGCCGGGAAACCCGAACATCTGGTTGATGCATTAACCATCGGTAAAGCTGATGCAGCATTGGTTGCCTCCATGGTGCATTTTGGCGAGTACAAAGTCAGCGAGTTAAAACAAGAGCTGCATAACCGCAATATAAAAATGCGGATGTCCTGGTAAGCGAAATCTTTCCCGGCTCAAGACCGGGGCCTGAAACATAGAGAATCGATATGCGTGCAATACAGATTGAAAACGGTCAACTCACCTGGTCTACCGCGCCGGATGTGGTCTGCGGTGTGGGTGAGGTGCAGATACAGGTGCATGCATCGGCTGTGAATCGCGCAGACCTGTTACAGGCCACCGGGGGGTATCCGCCGCCGCCGGGTGCAAGTCCCATACTTGGGCTTGAATGTGCGGGTGTTGTGATGGCTGTTGGCGAAGGCGTACAGCGTGTATCGGCAGGTGATCGGGTCTGCGCGCTGCTGGCTGGCGGCGGTTACGCCGAACAGGTGGTTGTACCCGCCGGCCAGGTGCTGCCTGTGCCGGCTGGTTTGTCATTCAATGAAGCGGCCGCATTGCCGGAAGTTTTTGCCACCGCCTATCTGAATCTTTATATGGAAGCAGGCCTTAAATCCCAGGAAAAAGTCATTCTGCATGCGGGTGCCAGTGGTGTGGGGACCGCAGCAATCCAGTTGCTGGCGTGCAGTCAGAACCCCTGTTTTGTCACCGCAGGCTCTGCGGAGAAAATAGAGCAGTGCACGGCGCTGGGTGCCGAGGCGGGTTTTGATCGACACCAGGGTTCCTTCCTGGAAGCTGCACAGCAGTGGGCGGGTACAGCAGGGGTTGACGTGATCCTTGATCCCGTTGGCGCCCAATATCTGGCAGATAACTTAACGGTTTTAGGCTCGGGTGGACGCCTGGTGCTGATCGGTCTCATGGGGGGCATGCAGGCAGAAACAAATCTTGCGCTGATGATGATGAAACGACTGCGCATTATTGGTTCAACTTTACGCGCACGGCCGATTCCTGAGAAAGCGGCGATTATGGATCAGCTGCTCAAAAACGTCTGGCCGGACATAGAAAAAGGGCGCATCAAACCGATTATTGAGACGGTGATACCTCTGCATGAGGCGCAAAAAGCCCATGAACTGGTGGCTGCCAATAATACTGTTGGCAAGGTAATCCTCTCTCTGGATTGAGTCTATAAGCCCCATTGCACGGCGATTCTGCCGTTTATCTGCGCCTTGCTACCGCTGGTAAGCGAAGGCTTTTGATCCCGCTGCGCCGCAAGTACTGTGTAACCCATCAAGATAGGGTTCAAGTGCATGAAATCTCAAGGCTTTACACTCGTTGAATTGCTGGTCGCATTAGCGATCTTTGCGATCATCTCAGCGCTGGCTATTCCTCAATACACCGCATTCACCGAGCGTGGTTTTCGCACAGAGGTCACCTCAGACCTGCTTAATTGTGCCCAGGCGATGGAGCGATTTAACGCCACAGAGTTTACTTACGTGGGTACGAATCCTGGGGGTGACGACACAGCGCTGGATGCAGGAATCTGCACCCCTCTGAGCGCACCCTCCGGTCGATACGCCATAACAGCGGTCACAACAGCGGATACGTTTGTCCTTACAGCTACGCCGGGTGGATCAATAGCAGGCACCGGCGTGATAACCCTTGATCAGATCGGTAACCGCACATGGGATGAGAATAACGATGGCGCAATTTCCGGCACCGAAGCCGATTGGAATGAAGGTTAAGCAGCCGGTGGCCGCGTAACGACTACCGTTTATCGCATACGAATTCTTAATTGGCAGCACACGACTTAGATTAAGCGCTTATGAGACACCAAAGACACAAATCAGCAGGCTTCACCATCATCGAATTGCTGGTGGCGCTGACCATCGCGGCAGTAATGATGGCGTTTGCATTGCCTGCGTTTAACGATTTTACCGTTCAACGACAGATGACCGCTAATGTGAACCAGTTTATCTCAGCGATCAGCTACGCACGCAGCGAAGCGACTCGCCTCGGCGGAGATGTCAGCCTGCAGAGTGTTGATGCGGCTGATAACGCCAATGAATGGGGTCCCGGTTTCTGCGTCACTGCCGGCGATCCGGGCAATTGTGACGCGCCGCTGCGCGTTTTTGCGCTGGAAGGAACGGTCACCCTTAATGCGCAGGGTGTTGACTTAAACAACGAGCCCACCATGACGTTCAATTCCCGCGGTTTGTTGCAGGATGAATTAGCCGGCACCTTAGAGTTGTGTGGTGCTGATGCGGATGATGATCCTGGTAGGGAAGTCAGAATCAATGCACTGGGTCGAACCAACGTGGTTCGATTTGTTTGTTTCCCTTGAGGGTTTTTGTAGCTCGGTCAGGGCAGCAGAGTAACTAGGATATGAAACACATGTCTCGAGTAAAAGTTTGTAAAGCAACGTTCACCAAGGCAAGGACAGCGGCTGGTTTTTCCTTGGTTGAACTGTTAGTTGCCGTCCTGATTATGGGCGTGGGCGTATTGGGCGTTACTGGCCTGCAGATGGTCAGCCTGCAGAATAATCGCGATGCCCTGCTGCGCAGCGAGGCGTTGCAGTCAGCTTACGACATCATGGATCGGATGCGTGTGAACGCCGCCGGTAACTATGATGGCGTAGATTACGGTGATGCGCCGGCCGCACCGACAAATTGTTTCACCAGTACCTGTACAACTGCACAGATGGCGGCTTTTGATATTGCGGTCTGGCAATGTGGTCTGGGGCTATACAACGCCGAAGCCGAGTGTGTGACCCTGCGGGATGGCGAAATTCTGCCGGTTGTCGCAGACCAACCAGGGCTGCCCGATGGTGAGGGATCAATTGATATAGACGCCGGTATGACAACTGTGACGATTCGTTGGACCAGCTTCGACGGTACCCAGGAAGAAATCACCGTGGAGAGCCAGCAATGATGCGTTTTAAACAATCTCAAGCGGGTTTCTCTATTCTTGAACTGATGATCTCGCTGCTGCTAGGTCTGGTGATTATTGCTGGCATCGTGCAACTCTTTGTGGGCAACTCGCGTACCTATGAAATTGTCACCGCACAATCCAGATTGCAGGAAAACGCCCGTTATTCGTTTGATTTCATCACTCAGGCGGCCCGTGATGCCGGTTATTTTGGTTGTGCGCCGGAAGATGATTTTGTCATCAACGGGCTGGTTGGTAACTGGAATCAGATTCCCGAGTATGATTTAAGCCGGCCGCTGGATGGCTTTGACGCCAATGGCGACGGCACCTATACGCCAACAGATCTACTGACGTTGCCGCGAACTGAAGGCGCAACAAACCTCAACGTACACATTGCGGGTAACGGTATTGATGGCACAACCCTCACACCAGCAGCAGATGTTGTCATATTCCGTAGCGTAGAACAGCCGGTGGCGCGCTTGAATGCAGTACTGCAGTCTGATGCAGAGCCTGAAGTGTTCACTCCGGGCGGCGAACCCGAATTTGCCGTTAACGATGTTGTGGTTGTGTCTGACTGTGAGCAGGCCGCCATGTTCAACGTCACCGGCGTTTCGGTGACTGGCGATGTGACCACCTTGAGCCGTGCTGACGGCACAGGTTTTTTCAATAACACCACCAGCGTGACCACCCTGGGCGGGGATACGCTACCGGCAGCCAGTCCACCGCCGCTATCTGTATTAGGTCGATCGTACGGTGGTGCAACAACCGTTGGTCGTGTGCAGACAACCATCTTTTTTATTGCGCCCAGCGCGATCGCAAATGAAGCAGGCGACAATATTAACGCGTTATGGCGCAAGGTTGGCTCTGCCGCTCCGGTTGAACTGGTGCAGGGCGTTGAAGACATGCAGGTTTTTTACGGTGTTGATACCACTAATGATGGCAACCCTAACGTGAACCGATATCTCACCATCGATAACGTGGCAGACATCAATTCGGTGGTTGCGGTTCGGGTTCGACTCGATATTACAAGTCCGGATGCGATCCTGCGACAGGACGGTACACGTGATCGACTGCGACGCACGTTCAGCAAAACCATCAGTATTCGAAATGCGGGGGTTTAACAAATGCGAATAAGACAACCTCGAACAATTTTTCCGCGGCGACAACAGGGTGTGGCGTTGTTTATCAGCCTGGTGCTGTTGCTGGTGTTAACCATCATTGGCGTGTCATCAGTCCAGACAACCAGCCTCGAAGTGCGTATGTCTAGAAACGAACACGATACGCTGCTGGCCTTCCAGGCTGCGGAGTCAGCATTGCGAGACGCAGAAGCGCAACTGTTAGGCATTACCTCCACCGCACCGTTTAATGACAGCGCGGGTTTATATGAGGCGGTACCTCTGGGTGAAGCGGAAAACTGGGAAGCCGCAGGTACCTGGACAGGTGGCAACAGTGTCCTGGCTGATGTCGTTGAAGGCACAGCCGCACCGTCACGCTACATTGTTGAATATATCGGACCGGTATTGCGTGACGAAAACGCACACCAACAGGAAGACCCATACTCGGGCGCGGCCACCGTTGACCGCGTTGAAATGTTTCGTATCACTGCGCGTGGCGTAGGCGGTACACCTAATGCTCAAGTTCTGCTGCAAACCACTTACGGCAGGATTATGGACTAACGCGTTAAGCGTTAGTTGAATTACGGGAGAAATGACGATGGCTAAGAAAGCAGTAAACGCCTCGCTGGTGATGTTCACATTGACGGTTTTGTTGTGGGGCAATGTGTACGCCTTCCCTACGGTCGATGCGGATGACTTTGATGACGACGAAGGTGCTGAGGTTGTTGGCAATGTGCTCGACAATGATTCCGAGTCGGACGGGAGTCTCACGATAGTTGGCTCAAGTTTACCTCCGGGAATGACGCTGGATGATGATCCCTTCTCACCAGACTTTGGCGAGGTGAGGTACACCCATCCGGATGTGCACTTCAGCGGCACCGTGACTTTTTCATATGATGTGCGCCAGGTGGACTTAGCATCTTGCCCTTTAGTCATGCCTGATCCGCTTTGTACTGTCACCGGGAATGGCGTGGTGTTTTTTGCGCCTGTTGCCGACTTACCTCTGGTTGCCTTTGGTGGTGCTTCCGGCCCCGAAGATACAGCGATATCTTTAGGTATATCCATCACACCAGTAGATCCAAGCGAAACGCTGGACATTCAGCTCAGCGGTGTCCCGGCTGGTGCAGTGTTATCTGGTGGAACGCTTGTTGCCGCGGATACCTATGCATTAAGCCTGGCGGAAGCTAATTCTTTAACCATAACACCACCGCTTAATTTCAATGGCCCTCTGCCGCTGAACTTGTTTATTGAGACCACAGATACAGCGCTGGATGCTAGCGCTTCGCCAGTGACGGATCAGGACAATGGAAGTTTCCCGATCTTTGCCATGGTCACTGCTGAGGATGACGATCCTGTGGCAACAGGTATGGTGCCGACGTTAGATACATTTGAAGATACGCCGGCAAACGTTGACCTGGCGGCATCCGTCAGCGATGTAGATGTTGGCGACACGCTGAGTTTCTCTATTGCTTCGGTCGATAACGCGGCTATCGACACAGCGATGACGGTCGGTTCTGTCCTGGAGGTGAGTTTGTTGCCTGATGCGTTTGGCAATGGCTCTGTGACCGTCGAAGTGTCTGATGCGGATGGCGGCGTACCGGTTGTTCTGGTGGTTCCGGTAAATGTTGCTGAAGTAAATGATGTACCCACAGTGGTGGGTGGGGTTGCACCCGTCGATGTACCTGAAGATTCAACACCTGAAGTGGTTAGCTTTGCCGGCGTTTTTGACGATGTGGATATTCCAACTGGTGACAACCTTAGCCTGACAGCCGCGTTCGAAAGTGGTGATGCACTGTTCGACACTGTTTCCATGTCGGGTGATGATCTGACGCTTGATTTTACAGCTGAAGCGAATGGCGCGGCAGTCGTTCGTATTGATGCAACAGATACGGCCGGTGAAGTTGCCCAGTATTTTCTGAATGTGACGGTGCAAGCGGTTAATGATGCGCCAGTTGTTGCCGGCTCTCTTTCCGATCGCAATATCGACGAAGATGATCCGCCGGAGGTAGTTTCTCTGGCAGGTGTGTTCACCGATGTGGACATCGCAACTAATGCAGATGCTCTGACATACGAAGTTGATAACAATACCAATCCTGGCATCTTCTCAAACCAGACAATTACCGGTGACGAGCTGACCCTGGACCTGGTGCCCGATGCAAACGGGGTGGCTGACATTACTATTATCGCGCGCGACTCTGCCGGTCTGCCAAGTTTGCCGGTGACGTTTAGCATCACTGTGGCTGGGGTGGACGATCTACCCGTTGCCGCTGATGATGTTCTCGGCGACATACCTGAAGATACCCTCGAGCTGCGCATTGATGTGCTGGCCAACGACTATCTTGGAGATCAGCCCACTACTCTGGCAAGTATTGTGAGTGTAGGCACTTACGATTTTATTGACGTTGAAGGTAACCTGGTTACCGCGCCTCAGGCTTCAGTGTCCATTGATACTGCTACCAATGAGGTTTTGTTTACCCCCAGAGGTAATTTCTGGGGTACTGCGATGTTTGAATACAGCATCGAAGACGCCAACGGTGATACAGATACAGCCATGGTGAGCTTTGAGATCACGCCAGTGAACGATGCGCCTGAAGGTCTGCAAACCCACCGGTATGATGTGTTTGAAGGTGCTATCCTTAACGTGGAGCTGGCCAACGGACTGTTGGTTGGTGCCTATGACGTTGATCCTGCGCAGGTAGATGTTAATGGCGATCCTATTGCGCCACAGCCGCTCAGCATTGTGTTTGAAACAGCGCCGCCACCAGCTCAGGGCACACTGACAACAACCGCCAGTGACGGCACGTTTACCTTTATACCCGCGCCTGGTTTTACCGGCGAAACAACATTCCAGTATTCGGTTTTTGATAACCAGGTCCGCAGCGCTCTTGGTGACGTGGTGATAGAAGTTCTCCCTTTGCCGCCCGCAGCAAGCACGCCTAACCCCGGTGAAGTGTCGGTGCTGTTCAATCTGGCGAATACGCCGCTGGAACAGTCTGCAACCGTATCTCCCAACGTCCTGGTGACCATGGATGACTCGGGCAGCATGGACTGGCAGGTGAGCATGGACATGACTGATGATAATGGTCGATTTGTCATAAATAACAATGGCATCGCAACTTCATCTCGTCGGGAGCGCGTCTATAGCTATCTGTTCAGTCTGAATACGAATGCTTACAGTGCAACCAGTGGTAATGGTCGTGTTGTGCCTTCGCAGGAATCGTTGCCAGCGGGTAATGACTATAATGTTTGGCAGGCCCGTAGCGCTGCTTTCAACGGCATCTACTATGACCCTACGGTGGATTACAATCCCTGGACAGGTATAGATAATGCCAACAATGATCTGGCTGATGCTGTGCCTACAGCGATCCGGCTTGATCCTATGTCAGCGGCCAATACATTTGATATCACCCAGCCGGTCAATTATCTGGCGCACTCTGTGCCTCGCTGGCAGACAAGCGGTGGTTCAGCTAATGTCAATGTCACCAACTTCTACATTCCGCGCTACTACACCGCAGCTGGGGTTCGAGTGGAAATTCGTGATGACGGTACGATGTATCCCGGTGGCGATCAACGTGATGACTGTTCCGGCCCAAGTAACACGTGTACCTACGACGAAGAGATTCAGAACTTTGCCAACTGGTTTCAGTATTACCGTTCGCGCGAACTGGTGGCAAAAGCGGCGCTGGGTAACGTTGTTGCTGAGTTGCAGGATATACGGGTCGGCTTTGAAACCATTAACCGTCGTAGCAATGAAGCCATTGCTGACATGAATGAGTTCTATTGGGAAGGCGAAAAGCAGGAGCTCCTGGACGATATTTATTCAGTTGATTCCAGCGGCGGTACGCCGCTGCGCAGAGCCCTAGATGATGCTGGCCGTATTCTGGCCTGCGATCGTGCTGATCGCGATTGTCCGGCCTTACCGATCCCAGAAGGTATCTGTCAGCAGAACTTCACACTGTTGTTCTCGGATGGATACTGGAATGGCTCAACACCACGCCCCGGCAACTTTGACGGTGACGATTCCAGCGTATTTGATGGCGGTAAATTTGCAGATACCCATAGCGATACGCTGGCTGACATTGCCATGTATTACTACGAGAACGATATGTTCCCCGCTGTCGATGATGGTGTACCTCTGTCCACCGCTGATGTTGATAGTGTGCCGGTAGGTACCTATACATCGGCAAACGACTTTATCCATCAGCACATGAAAACATTCACCATCGCATTTGGTGTTGAGCCCGACATTGATCCGTTAGCGGCGGAAGCCGCGCTCGCTGGTGCAACGTTTGCCTGGCCATCACCGGGTTCAGCGCCCAATGCTAAAATTGACGACATGTTGCACGCAGCCATTAATGGTCGCGGTCGATTCCTGAACGCAGGACAACCTGGCGAGCTGCAGGCTGCTGTGGGTGCTGCATTCCGTGAGTTTACCCAGGCGGCTTCTTCAAGTTCAGCAGCAGCCTTTAACTCAACGTCATTACGTGAAGGTACATTCCTGTATCGCGGTTTTTATGATCTGCGTAACCGCACGGGTGAGATGACGGCAAGCACGGTGAACGCAACAACGGGCGAAATTTCCGCCGTACCTACCTGGACCGCAGCACGGATGCTGGATCCCAGCGGACCGCTGAGCCTGACTCCGGCCCAACGCATTATCTTCAGCTACGATCCTGACAGCAATGCAGGTGTTCAGTTTGTTTACAACGATCTAACGCCTGATCAACAGCTGACTTTGAGTGAAAACGAAGTGAACTTCCTGCGCGGTGAACGTAATTTTGAGGAACCGCTGCCGGGAACATTGCGAGAGCGCCTGGCTGACGAAGGTTTGCTGGGTGACATCATCAACTCAAGCCCGGTATATGTTGGGCCACCACGGGCATTTAACCGCGATCAGAGTCCTTATCCGATCAACGATCTGTATTCGGAATTCTCTGCTGATGTCGCTGCGCGAAGACAGGTGGTGTACGTCGGTGCAAACGACGGCATGATGCATGGTTTTGATG